TATTTTAAAATGGTCTATAAAGATAAAAGTTATACATTTTTATAGTAAAAGAAATTAGTAAAATATACCTATAAATTAAAAAATAAAAAAATAAAATAATATTTATTAATAATTGAGGCATCTAGGTGTAAATAATTATTCTTTTTATTCTGATTTCTGGTCCCGACCGCAATCTCCTCCTCTCAACGGTCACGTTCTCGGGCGGCGCTACATTTGAATTCCTTTTTCTAGATTCTGCCAACGACCCTTCAATGGATTGATATGTTCCTTAAATATTAAATAATGTAATAATATTCATTTAATTTGGTTTATTTTTTAAAAATAAATGATTAAAATATGATTTTCTTATTTTAAAAAAAAAAACACAAAAAGTAACAAATCTAAAAACAGTTTCGGAATTTTATTTATAAGTTTTAGCATTGATTTGGAAAGAAACTTTTTTTTTTGGGTTCAAATATGAGGTGAAAGTATAAAAAGTATTTATAAATGATTTTTTTTTAATTTTTTACAAAAAAAAGAGTAAATTTTTTTGGAAATAATCTTTAATTTTTTTATATGAACTTTTTTTTGACTTTTTTAACCAATTGCCAACATTTTCTATACTTTTAAGGTTTAGAAAATGAATTGCCCTAAGTTTTATTTGATTGTTGCTAAAAAGTTAATTCATTAGCTAAAAGATTAATTTTACTAAACAGTTTTATTTCATTTTGTAAATTCACTCATTGTTAAAAAATTACTTTAAAGCATAGTTTGAGAAGTTGGTTTTGGTGGGTTAGGGGCTAAAATAGTCACAAAAAACAAAATAGGCTATTTTAACTACAAAAAACAAAATATCGAATCTAACTCATAATCATTACATTCATCTTTCACAAAAAAAGTCAAAAAAGTCAAAAAGCCCTTCCTAAACCAGGCTTTTTAGCCTCAGGCTAAAATAGTCAAAAAACTAAAAAGCCAATCCACTTCCCAAACGGAGGCTAAGACTCATTAAGCATAATATTAATGTAAAAAATTAAGATGATCGAAGATCGATAACTATATGTTTGAATCAAATTTGTATTACAAAAAATTAATTGTTATTCTTGAAATTATATTTGTCATTCATTTTTTAAAAATAAATATGATTCAAACATATAGCTATCGATATCCAATCATTTTAATTTTTTACGTGAATATTTTTTTCAATAAGTCTTAAAAAGTGAAAGATTTGAATCACCGAAATCAGTTCCAAAATGAATCTACCAAATTCAAATGGACAACTTGAGAGAAGTCAAACCTTTTAAAATATTATATAAAAAGTCAAAATAATTTTACATGTGCCAAATAAATTAATGTTTTTAAGATTAAATTTTTTTTATAAGCTTATTTTTATCTAATAAATTATTTTTTTAGTTAATTTCAAAAGATACCTAGCACTAACTACAACCCAATAAGTAGTGGTTAGTATTTCCATTCATTTATTTGTAGCCAAATTTTTATCATCCCATCTAAAAAATACATAACAAATACTAACAGTGTTCTTGGAACCCCTGTTAAAATATATTATAGATTTATTTCATATAAAATTAGTGACTTAATATTTTGATTTATACAAATCATTAAATATGTGATTTTCAATCACTTGCGTTTATTAAGTTATTTACTACAATATTTTTATTTGAATTGTTTATCTTGTAGGACTTATTGATAAAATTATTCATTTAAAAAATTAAATTTATCGGACATGAATAATTACTTGATTTTGTCACATTTTTCTTAAGAAATATAGACAATAAATATGATTTTCATGATAAAATACAGTTTTTTTTAATGAAATTATTTGATCATATAAATATTAATATGTGATCAAATTAATTTTTCATATTACTACCGACTCTATAATATATGAACAATTTATATTATTAAAATTGATTCAAAGTAAACCCACTAAACTAAACTGTTGTATCCCTTCAAAGAAGAATATCTTCATGCCTTATATAGGATTTGTTTTGAACAATCAAATGATATGATCATTAGTTTTGGACATAATGATTAAAACCCAATCAATTGAAAATTGTTAGACACATCAAACGATAGAACCAGGGACTTTAATGGAAACCACAAAGGAGCCAAACCATTTTAAAGTAAAGTAATGTTAAACCATTTATTTTTACTATTATTTGATGTATTAATTTAATTATCAATATTGTAATGGAGACATATATTAATCGCATGATCCATTATATCAATATTATATTGATAAGTAAAATGATAACTATAATACAATAGGTATAGCATTATTATTTAAAGTAACGGCGCTCCATCATAAAAGTTAAATTACTTGAAGTATTTGGTTCATTTCTCATTAGTTACTTTCTTTTTTTTTTCTTTTTTCTTTTTTCCCTTCAAATTGAAGAAATTGCATTTAAGAAAGTGGGAGAGGGGGTGTTGTACTGGTGATGACTAGGATGAACTGATTAATTTCTTCAATTTCAAAAACAAAAATGCTAGAGAGCCTAAAAATTCTATCAAAAGTTTTACCAAATGTCTCACATCACACCCATGTGAGACATTTGGTAAAACTTTTGGTAGAATATTTGGGGTCTCTAGCATTACTCAGGAACGTATAAGTTTGAGGATCTAACTTACTAATGATTGTTATTATGTAATTATGTTATTGATAAGATTAAAATTATCCTTTTGCTTAAACTTATCTCCAAAAAAATACATATAGATTCTTGTATTATGATATCTTACATTGTTGAGTTAAATCCATCTAAATCTCTATTATCTGACTCGCAACGAACCTATTTATATCTTAAGTGATCGTTCAATCTCTCTCGTCTTATCTGATCTTCTTAGATTGAAGAAGAGAAAAAAAAAATTGAAATAACTCCCTTTTATAAAAAGAAAAAAGAAAAACATTAAATAATAAAATTTCATAAAAATTGTTTTTGATATTATTATTTCACATGGTTAGTTTAATATAATTTTAATAAAAATTTTATTTCGAAATTAAAATTTTTTTAGTTTTTTTTTTTTTTTGCTATGAAGATTTTTGAGAAAATTACAAAAAACGAATTTCATAACAAATTAAATTTTTAATTTTATCAATTTAACCACTAATATTTTAATTTATATTCAATCTAAACCATCAAGCTATTTTCGTTAGATAAAATCAACAAAAAAAAATAATATTTTAGTTATTAAATCTAATAAAAATAATATTTTAGATATTTTGGTCTATTTTGGAAAGTAGGAAAAAAGTCTATTTAAGTAAAATTTTTGACTTTTTTGATTTTTTGTGAAAAAAAATGTAAAAAAATAGAGAGGCGATGTGATTTAAATAAGCTAATAAGTCAATAAGCTGACTTTTTTTTTTTCTTCTTAATTGTCAAAATAGGCCTTTATGTACATCTTACTTTTTTTCATTGGTTTTCAATAATAGAAATAAACAGATTATTTAAATTGAAAATAAATTAAAATTTTATTTTATTACAATAATCAAATCCTAATTTTTTTTTTCCTTAAAATAAAAAAAAAAATGTATGTATAGCGCTCGGTGGGAGCTCAAGACAAAGTGAAGACAAAATATGGGTTGTTTTCGAAAGTTGATTCAAAAATTAATTTTTTGGTTTTTTTTATAAAAAAATATAAAAATATAGAGATGATTGTATTTAAAAGTTTGATTTGATTTAATCTGATTTGGTGTGAAAATATAGAGAGATAATAATATGATTTAAAATATATTAAAAATTAAAAAGTAATTTTTTACTATTAGGCTTATATTAAAAAAACAATGCTATATGTATAAATTAGTGTATTAATAGATTATGTGATATTATTTTAGAGATTTTAGCTATTTATAATTTATATAATAAATTTGGGTATTTATAATTTATATAAGAATAATGCTATATGTACTAATTAGGAATTATGCTAGGCACTTTAAATATTTTACTAAACCTCTCACATGGGTGTGGGACCCACACACATATGGATTTGTGTGTCCCACCTCATTTGAGAGATTTGGTAGAATGTTTGGGATACATAGCATTTCTCACTAATGGATGTACACACTAGTGTATTAACAGATGATGTAGTATCATTTGTATGGCTTTGAGTATTTATAACTTGTATAATAAATGTGGTCAATAATAATATCATAACACTAGTTGGTAGGACTTATTTTCAGTTTATTTCAGCTTTTAGCTTAATTTAAACTATTTTGATGTGTTTGGTTCAACTTAACAATACAGCTCAAAATTTTTTGTAAGTCAAAAATTAACTTATTCTTTGAGTGGGGGAGGAGAAGCTTAATTTATAAGTCAAAAATCAGTTTATGTTCTTATAAGTTATAAACTGTTAAGGTATAAATTATAATCACTTTCTCACAACTCTACCAAACGGGACCATTATTTTGATAGAATTTTTAAAATTTCTAATATTATTCTAATTTATATATATAACATTATTCATAATATTAATTGGCACATTAATTAATTTATCAGTAATGCTATAGAGCCCGAATATAAGGGCTCGAATTTGGCTTGAAATTAGGGGGAAGAAGGAGGAGGAGGAGGAGAAGAACTCAACTGGAGGGGCTAACAAAATCGGGCGGAGGTGGAGGTGGAGGTGGAGGCGAAGGCGGAGGTGGAGGCGGCGGCGGCGGCGGCGGCGATGCCGACGACGACCTGCGTTCTCGCTCTCGCCTCTGTGTTCTCTCTCTCACCTCTGTTCAACTCAACGAAGAAGAAGAAAGAAAAGGAAGAAAAGGAAGGGAAAAAAAAAAAATCAAAACCCAAAACGGCGTCGTTTTGAATTTTGAGCCAAATTCAAACTCCTAATTTCGGGCCCTTAAACATTATTCTTAATTTATATAACACCGCCGTATTAAAAAAAAGCTGCCAGGCAAACAAAGCGGTGTCAAATTAATTATTAACCTAAATTTTGTACTAGTAATTAATCGTGCTTTTCCTTCTGACAAATGCAGTTTGGATTTTAACGATGAAAACGAAGAATACACTTTTAAAAATGTGAATACGCAGAACAACAACAAAAGAAACCACCCCAACCTCCCTCCCTCTCTCTCTCTCTCTCTTTCTCTCTCTCTTCAATCTCTTACTCTTAACTCTGTACACCTTGAAACCCTAGCCATGGCGTCTTCGTCGATGTGTAAGAAATAGTTGGGCCAGAACCGCCGTGAAACGCCGGAACATGGCCGATACGCCGCCGTATCTCGCGGCATCGGCTAGGGTTTGGTTCCGCATTCGATCTCAGATCTCCGGAACCTGAAAAACTTTCAATTGAATTGCTGCGGAGAGAGAAATTGAAGGGTTTGAATCATGGCGGCAGGGAAGGGAGGGTTGGAGAAGCTTCGGAGATGTGTGCGGACGATATATTTCATGGTGGCAATGGTGGCTTCGCTTTTGGTTCTCTCGGCTCCTTTATTGGTTTCTATAGTGGACATATTGGTGCCTTGTTTTTTGATTTCGAGCTTCACTTGTGTTAGATGTTATAGCTTCAAAGACCATTTGCATAGATACTCATTCAAGAGCTCTTTGACGGATATTCCTCTTGTTTCGGTCATCAGATCTCTCATCATCACCTGTATGTTTGCTAGAATTCCTTGATTTTTCATTACCCTAAAAAATAAATTAATTAATTAATTAAATTTACAGCTTGCTGGTTTTCATTTTTCAAAAAAAAAAAAAAAATTCAGAAAATTCTACTTATTTTTTTTCGTTTTTACTAAATTTTTTTAATATTTTAAGCAATTATAGTCATTCAATTTTTTTATTTTATTTTTTATTTTAAAATATAAAAATTCAATATATTTTTTATATTTTTGTGTATTTATTAATTTTTTAAAATATTTTTTTACAAATTTTTTAGATACATCTAAATAAGGTGCATCTAAAAAAGTAAAAAAATAAATAAAATTTTAAAAATATTTACTAAAAATAAAAAAACACGAAAACTAAAAAACTCAATTTTCAAAAAAACATAATCCAGAAAACTCAATCTATACACACCCACGTTTTACTTTTTGGGGTTGCAGAGAAATTTTTTCACTGTACTTTCAAACTCAAAGGCAGCAGTGGAATATGTTTAGTGTTTATCAAAATTTAGAGTTTTATTTTTTAAATTAGTGTTTGTATATCTGAATGCCTTTATTGAGTTTTGGGAAGATCAAGTATGTGAGTGTGTATGATCATGAAATTTCTCTGAAATGTTTAATTTGTTTGATATTGTTGCTAGACAGTCTCATGAAAGGAAAAAGAAAAAAGTATTTATTTTAATCTTATGGGCTGCTTAGACCATCTCCAACAGTTCATCAAAGTTGACACCAAATTTAAAATCTGGTGAAAAAGTTACTGTTTGGTGCTCCAACGGTTGCACCAAATCGATATCAAATTGAAATTTCAGCAAACGATTCATCAAACTGAGGACAGAATACATATTTCATCAAAACACTATGTGTGACCGTTGGAGCAGAAAAGGTTCAGAATTTTACACATGGTGGTCGACTGTGTGTGACCGTTGGAGCAGAAAAGGTTCAGAATTTTACACATGGTGGTCGACCACCTGGTCAACCATCCGGTTGACCAACCAGTCGACCAGTGCATGAAAAATTGGCCTGCGAAGGTAGGTTCAAACAGTTCAAGAAGTGCATGAAAAATTGGCCTGCGAAGGTAGGTTCAAACAGTTCAAGAAGGTAAAAAAACAAAAAAAAAAAACAAAATTTGGCTTTAACAGTCGACCAACCGGTTGACCCACGGAGGTACGTTCAAACAGTTCAAAAAGGTTAAAAAAAAAAAAAAAAAATCCCCAAATCCATTTTGAAGCAAAATCTCCAAAGCCCTTGAGCCAAAATTCAAGGAGATTTGATAAAGGTGAACGGTTGGAGCATTCAGTGTCAAATTGAGGAAATGGCCATTTTTTTACTCAAATTTGGTGAAACATTTGGTTAACCGTTTGAGATGCTCTTAGGTAACAAAAATTAAATAACTTAACGGAGTTGAATTGTTGCTGTGGCCTCTGTTCAGAGACGGCTTTTGTTGTTTTTGGTCCTAATAAATTAAAGAATTGAGAAATTTGTTTGTTAGCAAAACAAAAAATAGGGGAATAATTTCAGTGTTAAGTTCAAAAAAGAAAAAAGAAAATTCAGATTGATGGAAAAAGTTATGGAGTTGTTTTTTAATGTTAATATAATATATTTTTTTTTAAAAAAAAATTTGCACTGAAATGATATTTCCTGGACATTCTTCGCAGGATAATCCTTCAAATTTGCAAATAAATGAATAAGGGTTAAAAACAACAGCATGTTTCGTCGCCTATTATTTTTGTGCATCATGCTTATGCCTTTTTCATGATGACAGGTGTTTATTCAATGTGTGATGGGCCTGCCCTCTCGCATGGCCCGTATCTTGGAACAGTGATGCTGTGTTCTTTCAGTTCAATTCTACTTCTTTCAGTTAAGGCATGTGTTTTCACTGTCAACTCTCAAATTGAGGCTGAAGCTTCATCTTCGCTTTCGAGGCAGAAGCTACATTTGAAGAAGTCATGGGGAATGCCTGTCTTGTTCCTCTCGTCTGTTGTCTTTGCCCTCGGCCATACTGTGGCTGCTTATAGAACAAGCTGCAGAGCACGGAGGAAACTCCTATTTCACCGAGTTGATCCAGAAGCCGTAAGATTGCAGAATTTTCTTTTAAAAAATATGTTTTCTAATTAACGTATATTATTTTATTTATACGCACATATCCCCAATTACACATGTTCATAAAAAAATTTTGGAATTCGCTTGTTTGTCGGTCTATTATTTTTACAGAGCAAAGGCAATTGGTCTACAAAATAGCACAGAATTCAATTATTCCAAGCATTTAGTTTGCTGTTGTCAATTGCATCAGTATGTTTGCCTGAACGTAACTTTTAAGTTTTGTGACTGAGTTTGCATCAGAGAAATAATTTTTTTTATCTGCATTTTAAAGTTTCTTCTATAGCTTTCAATAGCTTTTACAATGTTTAGATGCCTAACAATCTAGACTGGAAATAAGGAGATCCACTTCAATAACTTAAATGGAGTTCCTTGGAGTGTAAACTCCAGGCAGGTAGAGCATAAAGTAATAAAAAAAAGATATGACAGCATTGTTAAAATAAATGAAGACAGTAAGGACAAAAATCTCTATGAGTTTTTGAACAAAACATGAGTATGACTTTGGTTTAGCATTTTGATTCAATTGAAGAAAGAGTAATCCTATCCTGTATGTTCTAATCACCATAACAAAATGACAGGCACTTTCCTGCAAAACTATTTTCTCTGGCTTCCAGAAGGTTCCTCGATCTCCCACTCCTGGTACAGGTAAAACACCAAAAAGTGACAGTGAAATGAGGCGAAAACCTGGAGGGATAACTCGTGATGAAGGGGAGATCCCGGTTAGATTCCTGGCTGATGTTGACAGCTTATTCATTACTTGCCAAGGGCTTACCCTCCACTACAAGCTTAGCATGTCCGGTTCACCTCGTCATTCCTTATCCTCTACAACCTTTTTTGATAGGCCATCGTTGAATGTTCTATCAAAAACCCAGTATCATCTTCGCAGGAGCTTTAGCAATCAATTCCACACCTCTTCTCTTTATGCTCCACTATTAGATGGTTCTGCTACTTCTCCTGTACTCTCTGAAGATATTCCTGTTTTGAGTCTAAATGATCCGTGTGACATGAATGAAGTGCTGACATTGAGTTCTCCAACGGCGAAGCAAGATTTGGAAGGAAATGGCCAGATTGGCATTGTTTTAGTGCATGGGTTTGGAGGCGGGGTCTTCTCATGGAGGCATGTGATGGGTGCTTTGGCTCGGCAGGTTGGTTGTACAGTTGCTGCTTTTGACCGGCCTGGTTGGGGATTGACATTGAGACCACGCCAAAAAGATTGGGAGGAAAATCAATTGCCTAATCCATACAAGCTTGAAAGTCAGGTATTGTCCACTACTGAATGAATGTTTAGTGCAATGTTAGCTAGATCAATTAGGTGGATCACTCTAGTATATGGAATGAGAACAGAAATGTGGTACACTATATAGTCTAGATTGTGGTACACTATTAGAATTTATCTTAGTACTTCTAAACATGAGAGAAATTTTATGTTAATAATGACACATACCATGAAACATAATCTGTTATTCTTCAGTAATCATTAAAGCACATTATTGGGAGCAATATGTGTCCCTTTTTACATTTTTTCTTGCTAAAACTCCACTGTCTCTAAATTTTAATTGATTTAAATACTTTTTCCTCCTATGGATGGGCTAAAGTTCAAGACATCACCTTGGTAAAGAGTATTTCGTGCTTCTTTTTTTCTGCCTATTTGTTGGGATACTAAATACATTTTATTGTTTACGTGAAAACTGCTGTTACTTGCTCCTATGTAGATAGTTCTGAATTCTATGAGCATTTCTGAAACATCCATTTTTTACTAAGTTAATGCTAGAGTTGGTATGAATAGGTTTTCGTATGGGAGACTGCTGCTTGGAAATTTTTAAAGAATGAGAAAAAAGAGATGACAGCAAAAATCATGTTTGGTGTGGAATCTGCCAGTTGGCAAAAAATGGAGAAGAGTAAACTGCTAAGGTAGAGAGGCCTAGTGGGATCGTAATTGAATTTGAAAAAGATCTTAGGACTAAGGGTCATGTGCATCATATGTGTACCCGCTCTGGTTTCTTCCTGGCATATCTGCCTATATGCATTTCTCTCATAATATTTCTTTTTAGCGGCTTAATTTTATTTTTGATAAGTTGGTAGTTGGTGTTTCTAGGTGGACCTGCTTCTTTCTTTCTGTGTGGTGATGGGCTTTTCTTCAGTTATACTTGTTGGTCACGATGATGGTGGCTTGCTTGCCTTAAAAGCTGCACAAAGAGCCCATGCTTCACCAAATTCTGTCAATGTGAGTACCACCTACTTGGTTTTATGTGGCAATTACTCATCTTTGAATTACTGAATAATGAAATCATTATTTTGCCTCAAATCATTTCCTACGATTTTTTAAGATTTATGCATCACAAGAATATTAATCTTATTTTGTGATTAGGTGGGGACATGGTTCGAACCTGTAGTCTACTTATGGGAAATGCAACCCCTTTTTTATTTTTATTTTTAGTCCTTTACTTAAACACAAATTTCTTGGGAATCAGTTCCCTTTATAATATTCATGACAAAAGGGCTATCTTTTCTCCATCCATTTCCTCAACAAATGACCATTTCCTTGATAAAGGACTCTTCTTCTTTGCTCCCACTTGTGGTGATCAAATCAATTGATTAACAAACCTTGTTTGTGAGTGATCTTCGGATAGATGATATGACCTTACTAACTGGACAAGCCCTGGCTTATTTAATGGGTTTGAGGATTCTTAACTGTTCTTTAGGTTCTAATTAATTGTAGTTGCCTGCTTCAGAGCCAAAATGAGATAATATTATGCAAGTGTATGCGACCTCTTGGGTATTTGGAAGGTTCTTGTTCTTATTTATCTGTTTTTGTCATTCATCATCTAGGTTGATATCAAGGGGGTGGTATTACTTAGCGTAAGCTTGTCAAGGGAAGTGGTTCCTGGCTTTGCTAGAATACTCTTGCATACATCACTTGGGAAGAAACACTTAGTTCGTCCTTTACTGCGGACAGAAATTACTCAAGTGGTTAATCGGCGTGCATGGTATGATGCTACCAAGCTAACAACTGAAGTTTTAAGCCTCTACAAGGTATGTCCACTTATTATGAAAATTGTGCACCAATTTTGCTTAATTCAGCACATGTCTTGTCACCAATTTGTTAAACCACTTAGCCTATTTGAAGATACAATTTGCTTTATATATTCATGGTGAAGTGTACGTAAAGGTTGTTGAATTACTGCATATGAGATCATTTTTCCCTAAGATCCAAATATTGTGGCCACTTAGTGGAGATACAATACAAGTATTATGTTAGGTGCTCCTTACGGATACGTGTGGAGCTAGGATTTTTCCTAGACCTATTCAACTCATGTTAAAATTGTGAATTTAATATACACCATTGTTAGACACTAAAAACAAATAAACATAATACAGTGTCAGTGAACTAATCAAATATATGTCTTTAACTTTACACAGTGTTGGCTCATTCTTGCACCCTGTGTGTGACATAGGTAGTGGAACTCTGAAGAAATTGTGAGGTGTTTCCTGTTTGTAATTGTAAAATTTTGTAAGGATGTTTTCTTTCTTTTCTATCCTTTGATTTCTCAAACTACAGCAAAGAAGTGTGCAAAAATACTACTGACACAATTTCACCTTGTCAGAGATCAAGCTAAGAAAACAGCACTAACCTAAGCCGTGAAGTAGATGAGGATGTGGGATCAAGCTATAAGAGAGCAGCACTGAATTAGTCTCCCAAATTTCGCTTACATTTTAAATCTATCAAACATTTTGTATAACGTGAAAATAACAAGATCTAAATCAAATGAAAAACATAACTCCGTACATATATATACATACATACATATATATATATATATGTATATATTGTATTATATAAAGCACACAACTTAGAACAATTTTCAGCTTTGTCGTGCTTTTTTTCTTTTCCCAAGAATGCCCGTTAACTGTTCCTGCAAATAATTGCTAACAATTTTATAATTCAAACCATTTTTTCATTCATCTAATTGCCAACAAAATTATATGTACAATTTCTTTTCATCAAAAAAGAACAAGGAAAAAAAAAAAAAAACAATAGAAGGCACATTCATCAAATTTATGTCATAGATCCTCACTGTAAAAGTGGAAAATTGGAAGAGAATTGTTAGTTTTTGTACATAACAACTGCACCTTAGTTAAAATTTACATATAAATTTAATTTGTCTCAACAATTAATCGATCAATAATGAGTTTCATTTGATGAAGGCTAACATAATCTGATTGCCTTTTGTCTACTGAGTTCCATAATCTTGATTTTGAGTGTTCTTTATAATAGAAAGGATGATTTGGGAAAGGTGAAATTTACTGCAACAGTAAAGGAAACGAATAGAAATAAGACACTAAAAGAAGGCGAACAGGTCACTTTCTCATTTGAGTGAATGTTGTGAGTTGTGATCTAGTAAACTCTCACCTTAGTGGGACTGAATTATAATTGCTCAAAGCTTAGTGGGGGAAGAGACAAAATCAATAATCCGTTCTTGCTTACAGAGTGAACATTTTAAGCCAGTCCCACTAACCCCTAGGCTAATCATGTAACCTGGGCTTTTTAAATGATTATGCTAATGACTATGTTTATGCATAGTTTTGTTTGGTTGTCTGAGAAGTAGTAGATAATATATATATAGGAAATGAGAGCAAATAATGGAAATGGATTTGCAATGTAGTTGCAATTCACAAGTAATGGAAGGACAGTGATATGCTATAAACTGAAATCTGTACGTTTCAGAATGCATAGTTTTTTTGCCTTTATGGTAAGCATTGCTATTGGTTTATATGGTTCTGAAAATGCACTGACATTATAAATGAGATAAAAGTTCCACACAAGTTGAAAATGGTTATATTTTTATCGATTGGAAGAATGTTACTGTTGACTATTATTTTCTTCAAATTCGATCTTGGTGTGATTCTATTTAGTTTGGGGTTGAAGCCTGATGACATACAGTGTTGAAAGCTGTAATCAATATGTTGACCATTTCATTTGTTTGCTGGTATGCTATGGAACCAGGCCCCATTGTGTGTAGAAGGTTGGGATGAAGCTCTCCATGAGATAGGAAAACTGTCATTTGAGTCCGTCCTCTCACGACAAAATGCAACATCATTGCTGCAAGCAATCAAGGACTTGCCAGTTTTGGTTATTGCCGGTGCTGAAGATGTTCTTGTACCTCTAAAATCTGCTCAAGTTATGGCTTCAAAGCTTGTAAATTCTGTAAGTACCTCTCGGTCACCGTCTAATTCTATATTTATGAAATTTTGGGAGTTTTGGGAATGGTATATTGGTTGAGATTGATAATAATCTTCTTGTCATTGCACTCGGTCCCTTGGAAGTTCTTAGGGACAAGGTAAATATGGAAAACCCACCGTAACTCCTTTAACAAGACTACGGACACAGAACCAACCACATGAAACAACCTTGGCCATACATATCACATGGTAGGGCCCATCATAAAAGATACAGCTTCTCTTAAATTGCTCGACCTATATTTTATGTGGTTTGTTGTGTGGTCGGTTTTGTGTTTATGGACTACTTGTAATTCCTATCATACAGCAAATTTGGGGAAAAGCATGGTTCCTGCCTATGAAATTCTGTAAAATGGCCTGATCATTTCATGGGCATGCCACTTAAATTCCAAACTGAATTTTCAAGCATCGGGAGGACTCGAATCTATTTACATTCCGTTTGTTTTTGTCAGAAAACATATTCCAAAAAATATTTTTTGTTTTTTTTTTCATTTGGTATGATGAAAGATAAAAAATCAACAGAAACAAGCATAGTTGATAGGAAAATGTTTTCACTTTTAGAAGGTGAAAAACGCTTTCCAAATTAAAGTGCTACCGTTGGCACCATGCTACCACCACCACCTCATCACAATCATCTCCACCACCACCTCTACCACCGCCCTTTCCACCACAACCCGCGTATCACCTCCACCACCACCTGCACCTCCACCCTACCCCCAACACCATCACTATACAACCAGTGGCACATTAGTTTTAAGGTCAAAACCAAATATAGGAAAATGTTCTCTAGGGGAGGGGGAGCTCTGTTGATTCCAGAAAATTGACATTGAACTGTTTGATTTATTTTTAATTTTGTGATATGATTTATTGCCATGCAGAAACTGGTTGCAATATCTGGGTGTGGCCATCTTCCACAAGAGGAGTGCCCCAAGGCATTGCTGGCAGCTATATCACCTTTCATCAGCAGACTGTTAACAGAATCAGATGTGCAAAACCAATGAAACTCTTGTTTAACTTACAAATAGAGTTGTTCTTTTCTTTTTTTTTCCTCTTTTTTTTTTTCCTCCTTTGCTTTTATCTTTTATTCACCTCAAAAGAAAGAGGCCAATCTCCATTCTCTTCTTTTGGGTATTTTTGATGTGATAGTTTGCTGGCTTACCTAACCCTAGATAATTCTCTGGGGTTTCTCACATGTAGTTCTTTTTCTTTTTTTTTTTAAATCGAACAGTCTAATCATTTTGTTTAAGCTTGTTTGAACAGTTGGTGTTATTTACCACCCAAGAGAGAGTGGAAATAACACACATTTGTGTATATTTGTCATATTTGAAATGCATGCATTTAGCGGGGTTAGTTCATTTTAATGTTGCTTTTACCCCCATAGTCCATTTCACATACCAAAATCTCTTCAATTATTAATAAATATTATTTTATCTCCTTCATCTATGAATTTGTATATTGTCTCTTCAATTATAAAAATATATTACTTTAACACACTCAGTTTTATAAATGAGGAAAGAAACTTATTCTAATTTCCAATGAGCCCTAGGCTTTTAGTCTTTGGGTTATAAAAATTTATTGCTTTGGCCTTATTTGAGAAGTTAGCTATTTTAATAGGGCTCCGTTTGACAAGAGCTAAATGGGATTTTTTTTTTGGCTATTTTAGCCACAAAAGACAAAATAGGTTATTTTAGCCACAAAAAACAAAATATCACATCCAACTCACAATCATTACATTCTTCTCTCATAAAAAAACTAAAAAAGCCAAAAAGTCCTTCTCAAACTAAACTTTTTAGCTCAGGCTAAAATAGTCAAAAAAGTCAAAAAATCAAAAAGTCAACCAATTTCCCAAACGAAGGCTAGGTTATTTTAATTTTTTATTGTTTTAGTAGGTTAAAATATTTTTGCTTGAGAAAGTAGTTAGATTTTTTTAATAGTTAAATGTGATGTTTGTGAGAAAAGAAATAAAATGATTATAGATTTAATGTGATAATATATTTTATTTGTTATTTTAGTCTATTTTGTCTGTAAATTTTAGTCTAAAAATGTTTTTTGTTTTTTTTTTTTAAAAACAAAAAAACAAAAAAAACATTTGCCAACCAAGGCCAACCCTCTTAGGTTTATAAAGAAAAATGACTCAGATCCCCAGCTGGGGGTGCTGGAGGTCGGCTCCTATTGGACAAAAAAAATTATTATTATTTTTTTTTAATTTTTGACCAACCCCAGTGCGACACGTCACTTGGGGGTTGTCAGTGGGAGTCACCCCACCACCGGGGGATTTGTAGCATTTCCCGCTTATAAATGAGGAAAGAAACATTATTCTAATTTCCAGGGAGCCTTAAGCTTTTAGCCTTTGGGTGTATTTTGGTAAGTTCTCTCCAATCGTGTGGATTGGAGCGTTTTATTAGGCTTGTAGAGTTCACTATCCCCCGTTTGTTTTCACATGTAGAATAGAGAGGATTTATAGGGAATAGATTAATAATGAAAAGATTGATAATGAGAGAATTAAATAAAATTATGTTAGTTTTGATGATAGTTATTAGTGTAGAAATTGTTAAATTATTTTTATATAAAATAATAAAGCAAATAAAAAAATATAAAAATTTAAACATTAATGTTTAAAAATAAAAATCCTAATATGTAAAAAATAAAAAATAAATAAAAAAATTTCTTATCCCCTCACTATTTTTCTAATACCACCTCCATCCCAATCTCCTTTCCAACCTTCATCTTAATCCCCTCCTCCATCCTAATTCCTTCCCCAACTCCACAAACACAACACAACACTAAAAAACTCCACCTTCATCCTAATCCACTTCCATCCATTACACCTTCAAACAAACGGGGCCTATCGGTTTTGTTTTGATAATTTAAATTATTAAATGTGTAGAAATTGATGAGTATTTTGTACTTTTAAAAAATTACGCTGATCAAATATTGGTAACCCCTTGATTGGAACTCATTTTTGTTAATGACAAAAATAATTTAAAAAATAAATTATTAATAAAAATGTGTTCTGATGAGGAGTTCTCGATATCCGATTAAAGTGATTTTTTGCAGACATGAAGTATTCGACGAGTTCTATATATTAAATGATTTGGATCATCGAAACGGAACTCATAATAAACTCCACAGGTCTAACAATACACTCCAATCCAATCTGCTGTGTGAATTGGAGAGAATCCCCCGCTTTGGGTTTTGCATAATAAATATTAGGGAAAATAACAGGGCAGTTGAGCAGTAAAAAAAATACAAATCAATTACAAAATTTATACATTTTAATAATTAAAATATAATATTTTTTCATAATTTTATAATTTTTTTTTGAGCATTGATTGGCACCCCAGTACGGGGCACCCCCAGCACCCCCACCTCCACGTGGGGGGCTGTGGACCAAGGGAGAGTAAAAAAACAAAAAAAAAAAAAAATTTCAGCCAATCACATGTTGCCACATCACTGGGGGTCACTGGGGGTCCTTCAAAATTGGGATTCCAAAGCATTTTTGTTTTTTTTTTGCTATTCCATTTTGCAGTTATTTCTCCTAATATTATGTGAGTGTTTGGAAAGTTATTATTTTAGTAAACTATTTTAATTTTTGACTATTTTAATAAGTTAAAATTTTTATATTTGCAAAGCTGCTAAAATTTTAGTAGGCTAAACTTTTTCTTCCCAAACACCCCCCTACATCATGGACATGCCTATTGTCAAATTTAAGTGAGGCTTTTTTATACATATTTAAATGAGGCTTTTTTCAAATGGTCATTTTACAATACATGCCTTCAAAAAGGTATATCTTATAGGTAAATTATAACATTTATAATGTTAATTATTATAAATGTTATAATTAAATATTTATTAGTCATAATTTAAAAACATATGGCCGTATTTAATTTGTCTCTTGAGAGTCAATTTTTGAAGAAAAAAAATGGGGCTAAATTACAAATACAATACCTAAGATTTACTTAAAATACGAATTACTTCTTATAGTTTGGAAAATTACAAATATCTTTATGTCAGAATTTTTTTATTTAACAGAATTAATTGAAAAAATAAAATTTCTAACTGCTTACCTATATAATAATAAAATTATCTGAATTATTAATTAAAACAAAATTTTAACATTATTAAAAATTATTAATTAACTTAATGATTTATTAATAAAAGACCTATTTGTTATGAAATTAAAAATTTTAGGGTGCATAATGTAATTTCTAGAACCACATGAGGCACTTTGTAATTTAAGTAAATCTCATAGGGTGTGTTTGTAATCTACCCTTTTTGAAATTTCTAACTACTCACCTATATAATAATAAAATTATCTAAATTATTAATTGAAACAAAATTTTAACATTATTAAAAAATATTAATTAACTTAATGATTTATTAATAAAAAGACCTATTTAATATGAAATTAAAAATTTTAGAGTGCATAATGTAATTTTTAGAACGATAAGAGATAATTTGTAATTAAAAAAAAAATTAAACAAACTCACGCGCATCTTCTCTCTGCTCAAAAGCTTCGATGGCTCACCAATCTAACCCACCAAAATCTCATTCCATAACATCAAATCCCCATAAGCTAATTCTATGAATTCTTCGATTTTTCAATCACTGAAGCAGGCAAGAACATCTGAAAGAGATGATGAACAGCGAAGCAGCGCTGGTGATCTCTCTCTCAAATCGCCGACCGACCGTCGATCGCCGACGAGAGTTTGCTTGAATCAGTTGAAATATATATATATATATATATGAATTTGGGATTGTTGATTGTTTATGAGATGGTTTTGATTAAAAACTGGAGAACTCGGTGGTGGTCGGCGTTCGCGATGCTGTGGGGTGTGGTCGGAGTTGTTATTGGGCATTTCTGGGTTGTAGTTTCTACAATCGGAGACTGGCCATGGGACTCTCAAAACATAGCTTGGATCTTGGACAAGAAGAAGAAGAAGAAGAGTTGGTGGGGACCTGGGGTGCTGCTGTGCTTTTTTTCGAATTTTTTTTATGATCCGAATATTATAAAATTTGTTGAGTATATCATTCGTATCAAAAATTAAATTAATCAGAAATTTATAATTTTATGATAAGATTTAAATTATTTTACAAAAATTATTAAGAAAATGTTAATCGTGTATTTTTTTAAAAACAAATATACTTTTCGTATAAAGTTATAAATTTTTAATTAATTTAATTTTTAGATAGATGATCTATTTAATAAATCCTACAATATAAGCCGTTCACATTATTAAAAACAAAAAAAAAAACACAAAAAAATCCTCCACGGAGGACACCAGATTACTGCTGTGAAACAGCAGCACCCCCGGGTTCAGTTGGTGGAGGCTGGAGGCTGGAGGCGAAGGTGTAGGAGCTGTTGCTGCCGCTGATGATGATGAGAGAGAAAGTAGAAAGAGATACTACTATTCATCTTCATTTCTGTCTGTGCGTCTGGGTTTGGGTAGAGGGGAGCGTGGCCTTCACGCACCGCTGTCCTACTGGGGCAAAAACTCTCCCAAGCAATTCCACGTTATTCGGGGGGGTCGGGGAAGGAAATTTAGTGTAGTTTAGTGCAGACTAATGTTAGAGATTTTAAAAATTTTATTAAATATTTTATATGAGTGTAGAATTTACATTATGTGAGATTTATGTGGATTTCACATTCATGTGACATATTTGGTAGAAGTCTTGATAGAATTTTTGAGATCTTTAGTGTTTTTGTTCCGTGTACCTAGCGGGACTGAATTATTCTTTTTCGAGTAAATTACAAATACACCTCCTGAGATTTGATTAAAATATGAATCGTCTCTTGTGGTTTTGAAAATTACATTTCATCTTTAAAGTTTCTAATTTCATAACAAATCGTCTATTTTATTAATAAATCATCAAGTCAATTAACAATTTTTAATGATATTAAAAATATGTTTCAATTAATAATTTAGGTAATTTTATTATTATATAGGAGAACAATTATGAATTTCATTTTTTTAGTTAATTCTGTTAAATAAAAAATTCTAATAAGGGGATTATTTGTAATTTTTCAAACCACAGGAGGTAATTTATATTTTAAGTAAACCTTAGGGGGTGTATTTGTAATTTACCTTTTTTTTTTTCTCTGTTTTAAGAAAGGTCCGTTTGGGAAGCAAGTTTGGGATAAAATAGCTATATAGGACAAAATTGATTATTTTAACAAAATATGACAAAATGTCATATTTAGTTCATAATCATTTCATTTTTTCTCTTATAAAAGTCAAAAAAGTCAAAAAATTTATTCCAAATGAGACTTTTTAAAAAGTCAACACACTTCCCATACGGTTGATTTTTTATTTTTTATTAAATGGGTAAAAAAATAAAGAAAATATGTGATCTAAAAAAATTTAAAAAGTC